GAAAATGACAATGAATGAGTGAGAATATTCAATCAGAGAAAAGTATGATGCCAAGTATATTTGAAATAATTCGCTCTAAGAACACACTGGATACTATACAATGCTTCTCGGGAAAAGATAGATTAAAATTTTTAATGCTCCTATAGAGGTCTGCCCTCTCATCTTACAGTCATTGTAGAGGTCTGCCCTCTCATCTTACAGTCATTGTAGAGGTCTGCCCTCTCATCTTACAGTCATTGTAGAGGTCTGCCCTCTCATCTTACAGTCATTGTAGAGGTCTGCTCTCTCATCTCACTGTCATTGTAGAGGTCTGCCCTCTCATCTTACAGTCATTGAGACAATAAACATTTCCTAATTTTCCTTCTCTTAATCTTTGAAAACATTAAATTCTAAATTCCATATTAATCGACAAAAATAACCAACGTTCTGACAATAATCGTAATATAAGGCAGTTTCTACGTGCATGTACATATATCAAAACATTTACTTTTACCATTATCATGACCGCTAATTAGTCATGTTGCAAAATTTGCACCAACTCCTGTACAACGATCATTACAAAAGGTACATTAATAACAACTTTACAAAATCTCTTCTGGAGATGAGTAAGAATCTACCAGTATTTTATATGACCTTAGAGCAGTTATCATAAAAGTTAAGTTTCTGAACACAAGATAAAGAGAGCTATGCTATTCACGACGATTATTATAATAAAAACTTTAGACCAATATTCTAAAACGTGTCACGACTTTTTCTAATGATTTTTATAATACACAGTAAAAGCGTTCTTTCTTTATACAACAAGGACAGAAGGTTGAATACATTATATTAAAACGATTATGAATATGCAAACCGGCAAGTCACGTGACAGTCACAGTCGATATAAAGTCGTAGTGTTACACGTGTATCAAATATACATTTTGATATAGCTCAATATTACGTAGTGGTGCTGCAGAAAATTTGTCGCCTTTGGAAAGGGTAGGTAACAGCCCTTCCCCACGAAAATATTCATAAAGATGTGTTCAACTCGTGATTTTATAACTTCCAAGAAGGGAATATCCCTTATACTCAGTGTCGGATTAACCAATCGTGGGACTCTAACTCCGCAATATACTTTTAAATTATAATCTTTATCACATCAACGATAATGGTATTAAAAAATAAAGGCATATGAATCAAGTTGGATTACCTACAACAAGTCGCCCCTAGTGGCACAGCGGTATGTCTGCGAACTTACAACGCTGGAATCCGGGTTTCGATACCCGTGGTGGGCAGAGCACAGATAATCCATTGTGTAGCTTTGTCCTTAACTTCAAATAAACAATACAACAAGTCATACCCTGGCCTTGGTAAGCAAAATGCGGCGCTTGTAACAGGTGAGAATCCCGACCACAGAGGTCAGTGGTAATAATCGTTCTCATATTCCAGACAAAAGTAGGCAATATAATCAAGTGGGATCTCCATCTGGAAATGCGAAACAAGTCATGTGTACACAAGCTGTTTCCACAACATACAAATTCAATCAAGCTAGGGATTAGGACGAATATTCATGTTATTTGATAAGAAGAGATATCGTAAGGTCACCAGACGCAGCGCCTATGGATTTCTGTGCGATCTAACTGTTGAATTGGGTGCTGGAAAACCGTTGCCCTTGAACTTAGATGGAATATGCAAACTACCCACAGGGAGAAGTGGCGTGCTTTGGACATGACAATCTGACGACAGAGTCTTTTTCAAGGAATGCTGCAGAGTTATTTCTCAACATACACGATTGTCAGATAGAGCATGACCGGATGTGGCGACATGGATTGTAAAGACGTTGTGAGGCCCCAAATTAGTTTTAATATAACGTACTCAACCTCTGTATTATTAACAATATTACTCAGGCGTGATCTGTTATTTTACAGATACCCTAACTTACTAAAACCATTTTCTATTAAGAATATCAACATTTGCATTTTTTATTAAAACGTTCAAAAAATAGTTAATTTCTTTAAATTTCGTTTTAACAGCTACAAGGCTATCATTGAGCATACATTACTGTGTTCGATTATTAGCGATATAGATAAAATTATAAATATTTATTACTACACATTTCCAATTATGTGGTCCCATAATCTAAAGTTATCGAACATTCTCAGAACTGACATGATAATACAAGCTCAGCGGTAAATCTGAGGGCTTATAACACTGAAATTTTAGTTAAGTATCCACTGTGGGCAGAGCACAGATAGCCCATTGCGTAGCTTTGCGTTTAAAAACAAACAAAAGTACAAGCTATACAAAATAGTTTGATCTATGCCTCTTTCATTCTTCAAGTCATTATGAGAACTGTTTTGAAGAGTAAGGCGCTAAATTTTTGAATTTATAAAATTTTAGATTAATATTTTTAGTAGGTATCTTAAAGATTAAAGAAGAAGATTCAGAGTGTTTTCAATACATTTTTTTCAGAACCATCTAAAAGTTTGAACATTGTTCTCTAGTTATTTCTATAAATGGTGCTCGTTTCGCTTGTTTTTACTGAGTCTTGAACTCGAATCACCTTTAATTCCTACAGCAGGTAATTAATGTAAACTTGTAAAAAAAAAACTGTACAATACTTATGACAGACCAGTTATATAACATAACATTATGAGCGTCTTTCTGAATCAGCATACGTGACCCAGATAATGGGTTCGCGCTTTAAGATGCGTAATAATATTATGCCTCGTCTACATCCCAGTCACATCTAATCTTCTTGTAATTGAGCAACACATCGTTAACACATGTTGACTTACATGTTTGTTATATTCCCAACAAGATTAGTGTACCACATTATATTCGTCAGTTTGTAGGTTGTGTGTGTCTTTTTTTATTTACTTTTCAAGGACAGAGAGATATTATTAAACTTAATTATATTTGTATCTCCACGTGTAATGTATCAAATGGAAAATCTTAAGTCTCCTATAAATAATCGTCTAACAGTAAACTAGAAAAACTTCTGATATACTAATAAAATAATTATACGTTGAAATTTGCATGAAAAACGACTATAACTTCATCGTCTCCTAATCTATACGTACATGCATTTATTATACATATTTTTATTAATAAAGAAACGAACGTGAAAAAAACATCTTAATAAAAGCATCTAAAATCGTTAAAACATCCAATATTTGTATAAATATCACAAAAAATGAAAGGCAAAGGTTGCCACTAGGGGTAGAAATCCTGTTGCAAATCAAAGTATGATGAATAGTAGAAGATTAGCTGTTCAAACACAATCGATCTTACAGTAATGTTAGCAGTTTGCTGCTGTTCAGACTGATCAAAAGATGGAAAAATAGTGAAAGTATAGCCGAGGGAATGTGCAGAATACTTTCGCTAGCTCGTTATAAATATGAAAATCCATGTTATTTCCAATCATACTGTAGACCTTGCACTAAAACAATTACATAAAGGAACTTATGAAAATGTTCGTCACGAGTATTCTCAAACTGAAACTCTAGTGAGAAGAAAGAACCCTAAAATATGACGTATTTGTAAATTATAATAATGTGACTTAGATTCTTATAAATATAAAATGATAAAAATTGATTTGGTTTGAATTTCGCGCAAAGCTACACCAGGGCTAGCTGCGCTAGCCGTCCCTAATTTAGCAGTGTAAGACTAGAGGGAAGGTCCTCATCACCACCCACCGCCAACTCTTGGGCTACTCTTTTACCAACGAATAGTGGGATTGACCGTCACATTATAACGCCCCCACGGCTGAAAGGGCGAGCTTGTTTGGTGTGACGGGAATTCGAACCCGCGACCCGCAGATTACGAGTCGAGCGCCCTAACCACCTGGCCATGCCGGGCCTAGATAAAAATATAGGATTTCTTATAACAGAGCAGTTATTATATTAACAAGTACTGGGAAAAGGCTTAGTGTCAAGAAATAACGTTCTTAAAAATACTCCGTATTTTCTAGCATTTTATACGAAATTTGTAATATTGGACATAATATTGTCCAAATAGTTATTAACTGCCCATTGGCATATATATATAATATTAGTCTCCTGATGGGTTTGTTTCCAGACCTATAGCGCTCGATTTCTCACGGTTGACAGAGCACAGATAGCCTATTATGTAACTATACTATCTCCACCCCCCCCCCCCCCAACTCCTATCCCGATTACTAAAAAGCCAGTCTGACGGCCTTAAAACGTTAAATATTTGTTTCAATAGATACCCGCAGATAGCCCTGGTATCATATAGCTTTGCATTATCAAATATTTTATATCCTATAGTTAGATTACACACTAATAATCAGAATTAAATGCACATTATAAGTAGGAAAGAAGTGATTCAAAAAATCAACAGTCCACAATCATGACGACTTTAAACTAACACATAGTTACAAATGAATGGCTTTCATCAAACGAAAACTTCCACATAGTTACTTAAAAAAACATGAAGTCCAAACAAAAGGGTAAAAAGTTTCTGAGAAAAAATTCATACATTTAATTATTTTTAACATAAATTAACAGAAATAATATTCACGTAAACATCGTATATTAACAATCATCTGCTTAAAAATACTTTTTGTGAAAATCAACTCAGCAATGTATTTTCGAAGCAGCCTTGTTCTGGCTTCTATATCGTATGTGAACAAGAAAGCAAAAAAAAAATTATGATGGGCCCTTAGATTCAAACCAATTGTAGTAAATTTCTCCCAAAACCATAATCAATTTTAAATATGTAAATGTGTGAAAAGAAAATGAACGAATCGTCCAAAATGTTTTCTCACTTTCCGATACAAGCCGTCTGAAATATTTAATTCATAGTAAAAGTCAAATGGTTTGGAGTACAGTCAGTTTCGACCTGAAGAACAAGCGCACTAGGTACAGTGATACTTCTCCAGTTTGTGAGAACATATTACTCCACGTTAGATCAGGAATGAATCATTTTGAGCCTTGAATTGCATATTGTTTGTGTTTATATCAAATATAAGACAATAACAAGGAATAATCACATACCATTGACGCTGGCCCGAAGGTACCATTAGGGTGTGGGTAAGGAGAGACGACATAGCCAATAGAAGAAAACGGTTCACAGCCTTTTCCTACACAAGGAAATACACATAAGTTTACTGATAAAACTAAAGGAATCAGCAGAGATTAGCTAGTAAAGTGTGTCATTAGAATAATTAATAAGGAAATATATTATACCAAAAGCAAAAATAATTCACACCTTCATAAAATGTTACATTATTCAACAAACAGTAAAAAAAATATTGTATTATACGTTACGTTTAATTAAAAAGTTTTAAGATGTAAATATATATATGACTCTTCTTCTATATATATAAAAGAGGAAGTTTGTTTATTTTGTTCGCTATAGGGAACCAAACGGTTGAGCTTACAAATTTTAAAATAACTTCATAAGAACCAGTGTTTTACAAGAATTTTAATGTTGCTATTTATTTTGTATTTGGTGTTGTATTTAATGACGAAATTGACAATTAATTATTATTGCGCCATTGTTTTGTAATACATTTTTTGTAACAAATTATTGTTTAGTGATACAGGTGATTATGCCACCCATATAACGCCCTTTATATGGAAAGTCTTCTGCCGCTAAAAGAATGCAAGCACAAGGAGTAGCTGAAACAGAAGAAGAACGCAATCAAAGACTTCAAGCACAAGCTGCAAGACAGGCTGCTCAAATACAGGAAGAGACTTTGGAACAACGTAAAGTTAGACTTCGAGCTCAAGCTGAATAGCAGGCTACTCAAAGACAACAAGAAACTGTTGAACACCACAAATCCAGAGTTCAGTCAGAATCATCAAGGCAAGCTAGATATAGACAACAATAAATTCTGATCAATGTCAAACCAGACTTCAAGCATAAAAATTAAGACAAATAACTTACAGAGAGCAAGAAACAGAGGAGCAACACGATGTACGAGTTCAGGCTCAAAGAACAAGACAAGCTCAAACACGATCTAATTTCAAATAAAGCTTTGTTTGATTAAATGCTTTTTTGTTTCTTGCATCACAGCTTTTGTCTACTTAGTGAATAATTTGCTAAAAAAAATACTGATCTATACATTTCA